TTCTACTTTATCGGTTACAGGCACTGCTTCTTCAAGTTGTTCTGCTTCTTCTTCTTCTTCTTTTACGGTTTCTTCTCCTTTTTCATCTTCTCTTTCTTCAACCGTCTCTTCTACTTCATCGGTTACAGGTACTACTTCTTCAAGTCGTTCTGCTTTTTCTTCCTCCTCTACGATTTCTTCTTCTTTTTCCTCTTCTCTTCGTTCAACCATCTCTTCCACATTCGCAGTTACAGGCTCTGCTTCTTCAAGCTGTTCAACTTCTTCTTCTTTTACGTTTTCTTCGACGTTTTCCTCTTGTTGTCTTTGGGATTGCACAGATATATTTGAAGGTATTTCATAATCTGATTGTAGCTCACTCACTGCAACCTTCTCTTCTTCAAGGGTTTGTGGAATTTCAGTTTCATATGATTCGGTCTCTGTGATGATCTCAGTTTTTCCCCCATCGATATCATGAGAAATATAAACTGAAGTGCAGTGCCCATTAGGCAAGATTTCTTTGTAGGTCGGCTCTTCTTCAATACTTTCTTCCTTTTCAAGGGGCATCTCTACTTCTATAGAGGGAGCACGTTTCTGGACAATTTCTGTTCTGTGATGAAATGTCGTTTCTGTTGTAATACAAACGGTTGATTCAGTCGATTCTGGTATTCCACGAACTCCAATTTTTTCTATGGTCTCAGGTTCCTCGTCCGATGACAGCGCAGCCATTTCAACGACTTCTTCAACGGGTTCCACCTCTGTTGTATGATGATTTAGCTCCGCAGCAATGTAACAAGTAGATGGTTCAATGACAGGCGAGACAAATGCATCAGGTAGCACTTCTTCAAAGCTTTCGTACATTGTCGTCCTGACAGATTTCTCTTCAACACCACTTTTCAATGGTTGGTTGTCAATATCAGCAGCTACGTGAATTGGCCGACTACTAGACATTTCGCTGATAACCGAGACTGGTGTAGGCTCATATTCTTCGTACACTTCTGCAACAGAATTCCTAGGTTCGATGGTATCAACCTCACAATTTCCATAAGAATTACTACGTTCAGAAAGTTCTTCAGAAAATTGGACAGAAGTTTCCTCCTCATCCATCGGAGACACCGATGTCCGTACTTCTTCTTCTTCTCCGTAGCTCTCAACTTCTTCTTCTTCTTGATCACTTGTGTCAGCAAAAAGTTCACTAGGTTCTTCACACTCATGTGCTAGATGTACCGGAGACGCTGGTGTAATCTGTTCCCGTTCCTCAGTTCGCGCTTCATCGACTTCCTCAAATTCCTCGCAATGATCCTCAAAATCTAGGGCAGATTCTGCTTCGACGTCTTCATATTCTTCAGAGGCAGCTCCCTCCTCTCTTAGTTCCACGAACTCTTTATGCACCGATTCATGCTCTTGAAAAATGACGGTCTTATCGAACCTTACAACTCTTGCTTTTTCTTCCTGAGGTTCCTCTTCTGCTCTTTCTGATTCAAGAACAACTAAATCTTGTGTAAGTTCTAGGACAGGTTCCTTTGATGGCGTTTCTTCTCCTTTTTCAAGTCTTTCAAACATTTCTTCAAAATCAATTTCACTTTCTACATCTCTCTTTCTGTACTCCGCGAGAATTGTTTCCTCCTGTACGGGGTTCTTGTTCCTTGTCGTCCTATCAACAATAGGTGCATCGTAAACACGAAATAATTCTTCTTCCTCTTTAGTTTCAGAAAGATCAGTATTCCTATCAAACTCTCTAGGTGTAGTTATAGTTTCTGTGGTAGGAATAAGTTCTATTCGACGTCCTAATCTTTTAAAGATATTCTTTAATTTTCGTTTCCTGTCAATAAATGATACATCAAAGCTTTCAAATGTTTCTTCATCGGAACAAGGAGCCTCTTCTAATTGTTCTTTGGATTCCGCTCCCACAAGTTTTGGTTCCGCGGGCTTTTCGTCTGTAACGTGTTTAGAAGACTCCACAATCTCCTCTTTTTGCACTGTTGGTTCCGGTTCCGTTTTAATTCGATGCACAGATTCAACAGTTTGCTTAGTTTCTAATGTCCTTATCATTTC